AAATAAAAGCTTTCAAGAGGAAACCTATTGTGCAAATAACTCTATTGAAAAATTGCAGTCCTGCGGTTGTACCACTTTCGTTTGGTGTTTTCCGCATTGCGTTGGTAGTATAAATGTACTTTAATGAAAATGCATTTTCTTTTAATTATTATTCAAAACAAAAATGTTGGGGAGGGAAAGAAAGAGAGAGAGAGATAGCCATTGTTTTGCAGAGTTGGTAGCCAAAATCGATGCAATTTGAACGAGTTTATTGATCCGCCCACCCGCATGAAAAACAACGGAATCGCAATGATTGACGCAATATTAATTTCGTCTTATCTACAAGCTATCAGAAATTAAAGACACCGAAATTATAACGGCTCCTACCTCTGACTAGAAATGCGTGCGAACGAGGGCGAGGGAAAATTGTTTGTCCTTTCGGGACAGAAGGAGGCGAGCGCAGATAGACAGAGGCGTGTCATTACGTGACAACACGAATTACGTAATTGTCCTCCCATTGAAAGGCTAGTCCTGATGCGAGAGAGAAAGAGAAAGAGAGAGAGAGGGAGGGGGGAGGAAAGGAGGGTTTACACGAAATTTATATGTACGATAAATCTAATAGTTTGTTAGCGCGACAGTAATGAGACGAACATGTGAAATCTTGCGAAATATCCTTTGGCGTCCGTCCGTCCGATAGCATTGCGTATAATTAACGAACATTCGCGAGGGACCGACAAACTGTATGTTTCATATGAGAATTATAATTTTAGGCCTCGATGCCTCGCGAATCGCGTTTGCCTACCTTCGCGGTAGCCGTAACAAATCTTCAGAGATCGAGAAACGATATTTAGAGCCGTGATCATGTACTTGAAACATGTAATTCTAGTTACATGAAGTTACAAAAAAATCCCCCTACACGATCTTACGTGATATCGCGTACAAAATCGCTAAAATATAACGCTGTAAATACAAAAGAAAAATCGGTGTTGAAACTTTGGTGTTTACCGTGTTCGGGGCGTGGCATGGTAAAAAAAAATTCTAATAATTCGCTCGCGCGATATACACAACTTCTTGCGACGTAACTGAAAAAGTTTTCGATCGAGTTGGCCCAAACAAGCGTGCGACGTTTCCACGTAAGATCGACAGTCGCGCGTTGTTTTTCTCGATCGAAGTACATGGCAGATAACCGATAAGGTACTCGCTCGTCGTCGCGGACTTACATAACAGTGGGCGTGTGCTCGAAATTAAATGCTTTGGGGTGTTCTCGGTATTGGAGACGATTACGGATTCTTTTCTATTTATCTTTCTCTAGATAACGAGCGTATACTTTTGTGCAGCGCGAGATATCCAAATAAATGGCAAACATCTATGAAGAGCCGACTCTATGAGATTCTGCTGTAAACACATTGAACGTTATTTTCCATGTAAAAAGGAAAAGATTTAGGCAAAAAATTAACATGGCGTAATATATGAAAGATGTGTTAAATTGTGTTGATAGCACATGTGAATAGCTGAGTGATTTAACTAAAATTCACTAAGACAAAAAAAATAGAGCTTTAAAAAAAATCAAGTGTTAGAAATTATGGATTAGACAAGTATGGTATGTGTAGCTTAGTTATATTTATTAATCTCCATTAAACTAAAATTTCCTTGGTTATTATTAGATGAATAATAATTAAAAGAATAATCCCGTTCCCCGATGTTATATAACTGGTTTGCAGCAACTTTTTATCATACAAGATACGCCTACACGAGCAATATTAAGTATTCAGAAATCCGGATATCGCAAGGTACTCGAATACTCAATTATTATTCAGGGATAACGTGAAACTAGAGCTTTCCTAATAAAGCACGAGAGTCACGGAGGCCAAGAATGTATCGCGCGCGGCGGCGGCGACGGCGGCCATCTCGTAAGGTCGTTTCGAGCTGGCCAACGTATACAGGGTGTATCAAATGTCGCACACTTTCTCTCGGCCTAGCGGACGTTAAAGGCCAAACTGAGTAGAATGCCGATTGCTTCAATGTCGAGACATCTATTAGCGTACGCAGAGAACGAGACGTTTAAAGCGCATTACAAACTAATATCACCGAAATTTTGATCCGAGAAAGAAATTATTTACCCAAAAATTGTAGGATTTAATAGGAGACCCTGGATGATTATAATCGTTTACATGTTGATGGAAGCATTTTGCACAGATTGCAATGTGCGTGAAAGTACGTCGCGTAAATAAAAATTCACTAGCGAAAAATATTCTCTTATAACAATTAATTCTAAATATATCAATTTGTTTTCATGCGTGGGAAACATCACACGTACTGGTTTTCTTGTGAAGAGCTTCTTGTGGTTTTAACGATTTATAATTCCTAGATTATCTAAAATAAATTCCTCCGCAATGTTGAATTTTAGCTGGTAAAAAATTCAATAGGCCGAGTATTAAGCAAAAATCTAGCGATGCATGTATTTATCGAGCTAAAATGATTCGGGAGAAAATGGGCTTTTAAACAAAATTTCTAAACGTAACATCCACGGAGATGAAGGGGAAGATTTGTCTTTCGATCGCTGTCGCGGCGACGATTCGACGACCGCGACGCGGCAGTATCGACCTCCACGCGCAACGTTTCGATAAGATGAAACCCCTGCGTCCCGCGACTGTAACGTCGCTCGTTATAATGTCGGAATTTGCCGCGCGCGAAATAATATCGGCAAAACCATCGTCCGAGACCGCCTTTCCTCCCCCACCAAGCTCGAGTTTACGACGAACGCGATTGCGATCGCGAGATTCAACGTGCGTGCTGACGTGCATCAAAAACCGTAGTCGTCTTCTTTTATTTGCGACAAAACAATAAACTAATTAGGTATCTCGACGATTAAATTGAGTTCTCGTTGAGATAAGGCCACGTTGAAATTAACCGACAAGGTTTCTGTTTCCAACCGCACTTTCTCCATTTTCTTGACTTTTATCCCCGTTTTCCATTTCCCTCGAATAACGAATAAACGAATGTTTATTCGTCAGCTTTATTTTAATCGCGTAAAGGAAGCGTAAAAAGGAGACACGACCGGACACAGAGCACGGATCTAAAAAGAATACGAAAACGATAGCGCGTCGCAAAAATTCCATTCTCTTTAGGTGCTTAACGCCACGTATACGCTTAAAATAAAATCGCGCTTAAAAGAGAGGATGTGGGGAGACGAATGTTGTATAAACTGTAAACGGATAAAAGATATAGGCTTGGCGCTATCCCGATAACGTACACCAAAAAACAGATCTCTTTCGAGGCAAGAGCGGAACGTACGTCAAATACAGAAACCAAAATCATTGATAATTTGTTTGTACCGTATCGCTTGCTCCGCGCGCCGCGATTGTTTCTGACTCGCGCCACTTTCACTTTCGATTCGCCGAGTAATGAACCACAGGCCGAAATAACGAAATGATTGATAACTTTGCGGACCGCATAATGAGCGATTCGCAAGGAACAATCGAATCAATGTCGCAAAAGCGAGCGCGAGCCGTACGACGAGCCGTACGTGTGGCTTGGCAAGCGAACGCCAGCGTTTAAATTAGTATCAGGGTGCAAGAAAATCATAAGCAATCGGCGGCCTGTCCGTGCGAGTTATGAAAGATCAGCAGCCGAACGAGCGACCGAACTGCAACTCGCGCGATGGACCAACAGAAAACTGTCACAACTCCGTAATTGACGCGTTTTCACATAAAAGTAAAACTAAAGTTCAAATTAATGATCAAACCGTAATTCGGGGAAAAAAACAGGAGAAATAATGAAAATCGTGGACTTCCATCTTTGGTAGTTCTCTAACTCGCACCTGATATCTTTGAAAATTAAAATAAAAATGTGAAATTTGCAAAAACGATTAAAATGGAATTTAAACGATCGAAATTTCCGTTCAGTTTATAATTTGGTGAGGAAAAAATTCCCACTATAACGAAACTAAAACTTCATTTATTGCCTGTCATGTGATCTGGTAGGCCTTGAATTTAATATTTCAACGAACAGCTTTACGGAGTTATGACGTTATTCTGATTATCACTTCCACGTATCATCACTCGCGTTGCTCAACAAATATTTCATTAAATCCACTTCTCGCACGGAGGAACCACGATCGAGCTGTCATAGGATTGCACCGACAATTTGAGTTCACCAACATCAGGTTGCAAATCAGGACGCACATGAGAGTCAAAACTGTGAGCGGTTAATGTCAAGGTCCGATCTGATCGCGAGACAACTATGAGGAATTTACAAAATAACAAATTGTGAAAGGGAGAACAGATTCGAGTTAACGCGAACCCACATATCGGTGCAATCATGTCGAGTTAAGATCCGTTGTATCGTTCCGGGAATTTTACGCACATTTTATTTGTCACTCGAAACGCGGACGATTGGAAGGCAGTGTTATGCGAAAATAAGTCGACCACCAAAGGAAAAATTTCGAGTAAATTAGAAATTTTAAACACGAGCAGCTTCGCGTTGCCGCGAGCTTATATTAGCGTAGCCCATAATTGTTGTAATACATATGCAAAATTCGGCTTTTTCAATCTTGCAAATTCAATTTTAGCACATTTTAACATTTTTGCATAGACACTGCTCCATCACGTATCGTCTACACCAGTCTACAGCGTAAATATCTCCGAGACGAGATACAAGAATCTTCAACGGTCGCCGCGGCGACGCGTGCCGTCGCTTCGGCGACGGTGGAGCGTCGCTTCCGGAGCGCGTCGACTTCCACGCCTCGTTTCCAGATTTCCACGAATCCAGGAGAGAAGCGAGTCAGATAGCGACAGTTACCAGCTCCTCGCTATCGCGTTTCCTCGAAAGGGAGCCGTTTCTTCTATTTCTCCCTATCGCGGGGAACACAGTACCGCTCTTTCAAGTCAGAGAGACCCGGAGCGAGCGAGGTTGACTCTCCGCTGGTTCGGTCCTCGCCTCGCCTTGCCTCGCCTCACCTCGTCTCGCCTCTCCGCTGGATCCGTGGATCGGGGACACCACAAAACGTATGATATACGTACGTAGCGAACGTCGGTCGGTCGGCCGCTTGGTTGCTCGCCTCGGCCTCCTCTCCTCGCTATCTTCAAGTTCACAACACGCGGAGCGGCCGCCACGCCGAGAGATATCTCCTATTAATAGGCCCGTTATTTTCGGGGCTCTTGGAAACACCGCGGCGATGCCGCTGGACCCCCGAGAGACTCCCCCCGGGCACAAAAACGGCGACGGGGGACCGTAAGGTCGGGCCACCGCGTCGGTCACACGTAGTACATCACTGAGAACACAGAGAGCGGCGACGGGACGGCGATGATGAGAACGATGAAGACGATGACGGTGATCGGGCCGCCGCTGACGATGAGTCCGTCGACGGGGCGGGCGAGCGGCGGGCACACAACCACGACGGGGTTCGGGACAAGAGCGCGGGGCCGACAAACACGGGGGCGAAGGGGCACCGGCACCAGCTTGCTCGACGATGCATCACGTCGGAGTCGGAGGAACGGGACACGGGACACGGGACACGGGCGTGATAGCGTGCGGCACTCGGTCGGTAATCGCGACACCTTTGCGCGCATCAGCGCGTTGTAACAAACACAACCCGGGTATTTCCCGATGCCTCCGATCGGCAGCGGATTCGAGATCGACGAGAGCGAGAAACGAGCGTGCGAGCGAGCGAAGAAACGAACGAATAGGTCGGTCGGGAGAGCGAACGAGCGAGGGAAGAAACGAAGGAGCACGTACGATAAGAATTAGAATATGAACAACGCGTACGTGGACCCGAACGTGCGGTCGAACGGCAAACGCGGTCACATACTGCGGCGCGGCGCGACGCGACGCGACGCAAAGCGGCGCATAGCGTCGCGGCGTTCCTCAAAGTTCCGCGACGACGTTGGGAAAACGCGTTATTTCACTGTATACACTGGCACGACGGCACTGTACGCTTTTGGCAGTTTTGTACTTTCGGACGCAGGTGCGGCCGAAGGCACAGACGTTTCACGTTGTCATCGTCGTCGTCGTCGTCGTCCTCGTCGTCGTAACGAGAGACCGCTCCTCTTTTTTTTTCTCTCCTCTTAATCCTTATCCCGCTTTATCCCGAACGGAGAATAAGCAGGATGCATAGAAAGCGGGGGAGAGAGAAAGAGAAGAGAGAGAGAACGCGAGAGCGAGAGAGAAGAACGCGGATTGGGTGGAGAACGAGAAACAGCGAGAGAGCGAGAGAGCGAAAGAGAGAACGTATTCGTGGCGTGTAGCTCACGCTGCTGTGTGTGTGTGTATATGTAGGTGCGTGGATACGCGTGAGAAAGAAAATGAGAGATTACGCACACTCGCGTGATTGCCTAAAAGAGAGAATGAGAACCGGAGGAGCGAGAGAGCGAGAGAGAAAACAGATATCGCTGAGAGAGATAAGAGTACGCGCGCGAGAAGGAGAGAGAGCGAAACAGAGAGAAAGCCAATGGTTGAGAGTGCGCGCAAAAGAGAGAGAGAGAGAGAGACAACGTGCAAGGACAAAGAGAAACGAAGAAGAGACGGGCTTCACAAAAGGAGCACAAAGTCGGGACGGACGTTTCGGAGGCGTTCTTCTTTCTCAAAACCTCCAGCCTTAATTTTCGTCGTGGAGAAGCCGTTGGGCTTCGAGACGCGACGATGCCTCTTGCACTTGTCGTAGCGCGGCACGTTCGCGAGAGGACGTTACCGACGGCGAGGCGCGAGGCATCGGGCACGACCGCCACGACGACGACAATGACGGCGACAAGGATGACGACGGGACGGTCCCTCGCGCACGTAAAATGTTGCCGAGAGGCTTACCCGCGGCGAGCTATTCCCTCGGGACAAGGGACAAGGTATTCCCCGGAATGCGAAGGCGGAGGCGGAGGCGGAAAGCCGTTCTCGCCCAACAGGGTTAGCGAGCAGCAGCAGCAGCAACCACCGCGACGGCGACGGCGACGGCGGCGACGGCGACAACGGCTGCAGCTGCGGCTACGGCTGCGACGGCGGTGGCGGCGGCGGCGGCGACAGCAACAACGGGCCACCGCGATTAAAAAACACTCGCGTTCTCGCGCACTCGCGACCCGACGACACGGTGTCTCGCTGCTGCGGCACGAAAATCGGCGCGGCCGGTCCACACGGCGTTTTCAGGGCCGCCAGGTTAACGTCACGAAATCCACCGCACACAACCATAGATCCAAACGGCGGACGGACGGACGTAAGGACGGACGGGCAGGCTGGCAGGCAAGCAAGGCGGAATCACGGGTGAGGCGGCGGGCGCGGGGAGGGCGGAGGACGTTCGGGGCGGGCAGCGCGGCCGCGGGGTGAGGGTAACGGGCCGCCGCGCGCGGGCGCGGGCAAGGGGGACCGGGGACGGCCGGACGAGAGCGGCGCGGCGCAGCGGCCGCGAGGGGAAACGCGCGCGCGATCGGCGGTGGGGGGAGAGGGACTCCCGAGAACGACCGAGCGAGCGAGCGAGCGAGCAAACGAACGAACGAACGAACGAGCGACGAACGAACGACGTAGCAGCACTAGCAGCCGCGCGCGCGATCGGAGGGGGAGCAAGCGGCAGAGCGGGGAGAGGACTGCGCTAGCTCAGGGTCGGCTCTCGCGGCTGGCGCCGCGGGGGCCACGGGCCACCAAGCGGACTCGCCCCTCGCTCGCCCCCAACTCGAAAGAGAGATTGTCTCGGGAGTCTTCACCCCGGAATCGATCTCATCGATTACGTCTTTGTTTTGTAGCACGATCGAATCGTCCTACATACGTACGTACAAACGCATGACGCATAGATCGTAATTCGACTCTATCGCTTGCTGTTTTACCTCGTCGGCGCGGCGGCAGCGGCAGCGGCAGCGGCGGCTACGAGCAAAGCGCTCCGCTACATCCTGAAAGATTCCCGACTTAAAGCGGATGGATCGAAATGCCGGCGTGCGCGCGAGGCCGAAGAACGATGCCGTCGTCTCATTGTCAGTCGTCTGGCTTAAACTTGTTACGGGATGCGTGTATGTTCCGAGGAATCGATATGTCGGGGGGCTGGGGGAAGAGGTACAGGATCGAGGATTCCTGGTTCTCGCGCGTCACGCGCCTCGACTCTCGACTTTGACGATCTCGGAGACTTTTGCGAACGTCGAGCCGCCGCAATCCGTCAAAATTTCGTCGACGACGCGCCCCGTCCTTTGACTCGTACCTACTTTCACTCGGGCTTCCATTTTCTGTTATTTTCGGTCCGCCGAACGCGCTCGTTCTTCTCGCACGTAACAAAACGCATAAAGGGACTGCTCTCACGTCCAGAGATTTGAATCTTGATTTCCACACCGCGTACCCGAGCGAGAGAGAGAGAGAGAGAGAGAGA